AGAAGATGTGATCAATGGTTTCAGTTGCTACAGGCCTAAAATATTAGTAGAAATGATATTAATAACTAGCATTTTGAGGTATTAACCAGTTTTGAGTTAAATATTTAACATGCATTATAATTAACATTAACATGCATTAGTATTATTCACATTGGTGGGTTGAGGTAGGCTTTGTTGTTATTCCCATTTACAGAGAATTTAAGCAATTTGACCACACTCATACGGCTAGTAGGCTGCAGAGCTATGCAGTTAACTTGAGTCTGGGTGACTTCAAAGGCAAAGCTCAGATCCACAAGCACATGAATCCAATTGACATTCCTTATTTTACAATGGAAAGTGATATCAGGGGTCTTTGGCTCATCCTACCTGGGCATATGTTGAAAAACAGAATCTGCAGCCTTATAGAATCAGATAAACTAGGGGAGTAAGGTCCTATCTAAAGATTCTCATCTAATTAAAATAGTAGTAAGCCCCTTTTAGACACTTGAGTTTTTCCCAGTGTCTTCTTCCCAGGTACATCCCATGTTTGTCTGTGGCTATTTTTTTCTGACGGTGGATGGAGAAAAATTTTATGGTTACAAGCTTTGGGATATTTATGTGTTACAAGTACACACTTCTGTGGCACCAAAAAACTAAATGAAGATCATTAAACAACTTCTTTACTGGGAAAAGGATTTCTCCCTGTTACATGTGAATTTCTCAGCAAAGAATTAGAAAAATACAAATAAGAGATGAGGTAAAGAACCTAAATATACATAAAAGAAACTCAAGGAATTGGAGCACAGTGTCCTGTCCCATAGTCTAGCTCTTGAATGTCCTCATTTTGCTGTTTTTGTGACTTCTTGGATTCAAATATCTCCAGAGAGGTGAGGCTGGAGCCACACGGAAACTTCCTGCTGCTCTTCTTGTTTTTATAGATGACCCACTACATTTACCATCACCGACACCGTTCTCACAGTTCGGAGGAGTTCTATTGAATTTCTAATCCACTGTCTTTTCCATGGCAGAGAGCCCCTTCTGCTGGATTTGAGCCATACACACATGAATTATACATCTATAAATACACTCATAAAGCAAAAAGCAGGGCAGCCTTCAGGGCTAAAATAGACCTTTTATATCCCTCCTGATCTCTCTCATTTAAAGAAAAGCACAACTCTATCAGAAAAAGGTGTGTGGGGGGGTATATAGTCCCAATTTAAAATGGTAACTTTAAGGAATACCAGACTTATTCCAAACCAAAGAAAAGTTCTAGAGATAGAATAGGAAATTAGAGTTTCAATGGATTATAGGTTTCGTATCACTCTGCGTGTAACCCCTTATGACTTTAGGGTTGCTGCTTCTGTGAATTCTTTTGTAAGCATCGACATCTGGTAGATCACTGATGTTGTCATCTTTGGGCAGTGAAACAAAAATATTATCAACTGCTCCAGCGTTTCTGAGTATAGTCACTTTGGATTAAAACAAACATGAATTCTTAGATGGGCATCCTCAATCTAAGTCATTTCTATTAAGGATCTAATATTGGGAGGAATACATCCCTTACCTCCTCATTTCAGATGGTGTGTTTTCATGGATGAGTCAGGATACTATAATCATCTTCATTATTAAAGGTGGAATTTAATATTATAGTTAATTGCACACTGCATCTCATACACCTGTCCCAAGCACCTTCCACATTTACAGTTCCCTAAAACTTTCCACCCATTTTCACTATAATTTTTATTCGTAATAATGCCTCCCACATCCTGGTTGACTTCCTTTTAAACTAAAGACACTTCTAATTCCTTGAGATTCCAGGAAATAGGTTTATGAAAGTGTCTATCATTTCACTGATTACATACCACTGAATTTGGGCTCAAAGTTCCCTGATCCCGAGCATCTTTTATCATTTTTATCCCTGCTACCAGGATGAAAAACAAACTGTAAAGAAAACTGAAGATTAGTGATTTGGTAGCTTCTGTTATTTAAACTCTGCAATAGCATACCCATCGTTTTAGTTTTGAAATAAGCTCTTATCATTTCACTTAGGGACTCACCAACCTTTTAGAAGCTCTTTATAAATTAGTGAGCTTCAAGATCCTCTTTCCACCTCATCTTGAAAAGGATAGATTTTAATTTTTATGGGTGTTTTTTTTTTTGGTAATTCAAGAGAGATGCTCGCATTAAGGTGTGGAATGAGGAGGGAAGAACAAAGGATGGTGGGGGGTGATTCAACCGCAGAGTGAGCAGTTTGTAGATTTTGTGGATTTTTGGCAACAGAGACACTGTGGAAGCTTTAGCTAAGATTGAAAATGGGGTGGGGGATAGGCAAATGTAGGACTCCAGTTGGGTGTCACAGATGGTGCACTAAAATTGTAAATGAATGCCACTCTGCAATCATGAAGGCAGTGATCTCAGTCTCACTTACAGGGACTCTGCCATCCTACTTAACAGTTTGCCTTTATATGTAAATTATGTGCACTGGGCCTTTGCCTCCCAGCAGATCAGTTATTCTTTGTCCATTATCCCAATTTCCTCTCTACTTAATAATGCACATGGGGTAGAGATTTGTACCACTGCCCTAAGGAACAAATGATTTTCAGGGCTTGTGCCTGAAAGGAACACACATGCTAAGCCTTTGTTCTAGGTGAGGCAGGTAAGAACTGTTTTGTTCTCTGAAGGAAAGTAACATCATCCCTGAGCCATCTCCAGGGAACCTTTCAACAGATTGCATGAGTCTTCACTTCTCCCTCCTCACTGCTCTTCTTTTATTCAAACACTGCCTTTTCCCATGTATCACCTTAAATATAACACTCGGGACCCCACATTAGAAGAATAAGGAGAAAAGTTAGCTCAGGGTTAGTTTTATGACTGGCTTACCTTTAGGGAATCGTGCTCCAAAATCCATTTATAAAAACTAGCAAAAGTGCGTAAATTATGCATTAAATAAGTTGCAGGGTATATGAATTATATATATTCACAACGTAAAAAATAGGCATGCTGGTCCAGTAAAGCAAGTCTGAAGCTTTGACAGAACCGCAAAAAAAAACATTTTGCTCAATAGTTTCAAACCCCAAGCACCAGAAGAGAAGCCTGAGTATAGAGCACAGAGCAAAATATCATTTTGAGATTCTCAGAAAGGTTCTTGTTTTATTTCCCTACATATGTTAACATTATTGAGTAGGCCAGAGATGACTGTACAATGCTCTGTTGTCCCTTGCCTTCCAAATGATCCTCATTATGTACATTGTTGCTCCCCTTCCCAGCTCAGTTTCTCTCTGTGTAACACAGTGTTATTGGCTAAATAGGGAGGGAGGAAAGGCTTTGGATGTGGGTACAAACAGGTCTTCTCAGGTGCTGGGAAGGTATGCAATGGGTTTCTTCTCAGGAGACCCTTCTGTTAGCATACCTGAAATCTGGACACAGTAGATGCAACAGTTTCCACTGAGGCACAAGAAATGTTTTCAGGTATAAGGTATAGAAAGCAGACCTGAGACTTCTAATTTGTGAGTCAGTCTTCATAGGAGTAACCTGGGAAGACCATAAACTCAAAGGCTTCTGCACCTGGAATGTCCCTAGAACTTCACAGTATTGAGCCACACGTCTGTGTTTGTCACCAATAGGAGCACCTCAGCAAAGTCATTCCTGGTCATAGATACTTAAATGCCAGCAGTCCCATCAGCACAAAGTCACCACTGAGGGCAGAACACACATTGTACCTGGTTGAGAACTGAGCGGCCTAGCTCTCAGAAAGAGGCCTTCGACAACATTCTGTCTGCATCTCAACTGACTGTCTAACTGGGGCAAGGGAACATCACATTATCCTTGCTAGACGATTGTTAAAAACACTAGTTGGAATAAATGTGTTGGACAAAAGTCAATGAAACATGAAGGGTGACTTCTTGAGATTCTTTCTCTGTTTGAAAAATAACACTGTAAAGAAACACAGCAGAGACCTTGATGAACTTTCTCACATACATAAATAATAAGTCTGGTTCTATAGTTAGGTGAGTAACATCCACCAGAATATTTGGGGTACCCATGATCTGCAAGGCAGTGGGACTTAGTGAACAATCTGAACTTTGTTTTCTGACCTAGTCAACATGTTTACAAAGGCAGCAAGTAGGGTCTATGGGTAAACTGACATATTTTTGCCATTGTAGTTAAGAATCACTGATTTTCAACACTCATTTTGCTATGCCTACATTTCTGAATCCATAAGTAAGTTTCCAGTAAGTCACAGCTGTTTAGGCAGGGTGTTTTTAAAATCTAGCATCCAGCTCAGAATATTTTTCGCATAGCATAAAAGCAATACATTAACCTAGTATTTGACCCATGCAAGGGAGTTGGCATTTAACAGCTGGGAATTTCTGGAAAAGCATAGTCAAAATGGATTTGTTATATGACCAATTTTAACTTCTTATAACTTACCCTCACTTAGCATATAGTAAAAGAAGACTACACTTGACAAATGTGAAATAAAAGATAGGATCTTAAAAAGTTAAAGGCAGATCTTTTGTATTCCTTGATCTTGGTCTCGGTGACATGGAGAATGTGTCATTCTCATCCTCATGAGAAACCCTGAAAGGCAATTAAGAAACTTTATGGTTCACAAATTAATTGCATGCATGTCTGCATGTACACACACAGACACACATGCACACACAATTTTGATAGCCGGTCAGTATTGGCAGCAGTACAATTGAACGTCATCATCCCATTAGTGAATCCTGGAAACAAGCCTGTTTGAATTCTATCTAAATAATTACTTGAGAGTATCTTTAAAGTCTGCACCCCTGCCCCAATCTATAGATTTTAGGTTTTGGTGGCAGAGGCATATAATGGGCTCTAAATCAGCATAGAATGTTTGGGCTACCACCAGAAAGGATCCACGTGGATTCAGGTCATTGTGCTGTAATTTCTGAGGGGCGTAACCTGTGAATTCCATTCATTGAGAGTGACTGAATTGTGTTTATCTGCAAATATGCTAATTCTGTGTTTCTTTTTCTTTTCAATCCCAGGAGGTGAATTAGTTATTCCTCTTCTTGTAGAAGACCCTTTAGCTACCTTTCCTATTGCTACTCGTGCACCTTCCATTACACTCCCCCCTACCTTCCGCCCCCTCCTCACCATTATTGAGACCACCAAAGATTCCCTGTCCATGACCTCTGAGGCGGGGTTACCTTGCTTGTCGGACCAAGGCAGCGAAGGTTGTGATGATGATGGCTTGGTGATATCTGGGTATGGCTCAGGGGAAACCTTTGACTCTAACCTGCCCCCTACTGATGATGAAGATTTTTACACCACCTTCTCCTTGGTAACAGATAAGAGTCTTTCCACTTCAATCTTCGAAGGTGGCTACAAAGCACATGCGCCCAAGTGGGAATCCAAGGACTTTAGACCTAACAAAGTCTCCGAAACTAGTAGGACTACTACCACATCTTTGTCCCCTGAGCTGATCCGCTTCACAGCTTCCTCCTCGTCTGGGATGGTGCCCAAATTGCCAGCTGGCAAAATGAATAACCGTGATCTCAAACCCCAGCCTGATCTAGTCTTGCTTCCGTTGCCCACTGCCTATGAGCTAGACAGCACCAAACTGAAGAACCCACTAATTACTTCCCCCATGTTCCGTAATGTGCCCACAGCAAACCCCACGGAGCCGGGAGTCAGACGGGTTCCGGGGGCCTCAGAGGTGATCCGGGAGTCGAGCAGTACAACAGGGATGGTCGTCGGCATTGTGGCTGCTGCCGCCCTCTGCATCTTGATCCTCCTGTACGCCATGTACAAGTACAGGAACAGGGACGAGGGGTCCTATCAAGTGGACGAGACGCGGAACTACATCAGCAACTCGGCCCAGAGCAACGGCACGCTCCTCAAGGACAAGCAGCAGAGCTCGAAGAGCGGCCACAAGAAACAGAAAAACAAGGACAAGGAGTATTATGTGTAAACAAAGGACACCATTAACAATACCTGAATTGACAACGCAGAATTATTTCTATATCAGTACGCACATTTTTGGAAAAGGAGATTTCGCAGATGTCAGAACCATGCTAACAATGAGATGGGGTCTGTACCATGGCTACGGCGGGGAAAACCGTTTCCAAAAGGACACACACCAAGATGTACCTGCCTGCCTACAGTTCAGCCGTGGCTGCTCTGGTTCGGTCATCGCCCGGAGACAAGTTCTTTCTGCCCTGCTGTATCATAAAGCACACACTTTGAGCTCCGGAGCAAGCAGGCGGCTCCCTGCACCCGCGGACTTGGGAGCTGCCTTCTCTCGAGGACCTTTCACCGAAGGTAGAAGACTTCACGGCTTACTTGTTCCATAACTCCAAGTGAGTCTGTAACAATGTTTGTGAAGCTTGACTGTAACAATGTTTTTTTCCTTTAATTATGTAAAAAAAAAACAAAAAAAAAAAGAAAAGAAAAGAAAAAAGTTAAAAACAAAAACAAACAAAAAAAACACCCTTATCTGGTTCTGGCCAGTGTGTGTAACTTTTCAAGATCTGAGGGGAAAAAAAATGGCTTTTGGGTTTTTGTTTATTTTTTGAGAATGACTGGACATACATTAAGAAGAAGAAAAAAAACTCAGAAAACTAAAGCGAGAGAGACTATTGCCATATGAACTCAAAAAGCTACCATGGTGTTCACTCTACATATCAGGTTGTGGTGTTTTTAGAATCTGTTGTTTGTTTCCTATATGATGCTTTGCTGAACACATAGCAAAAATCATGTGATGGATGAGAATATTGATTTGAAAAGCTGGTCCCTCAGGATCGAATTCCAGAATTTGCCATCCAAACCCTGAACAGACCGGGTTAGGGCTGGTTTTATCAGAGCTATTGGGTTTACTTAACAATATCGTTCCTGTCCATTAGCCCGGCCAAATTGTGGTTAAAGGAGAAAGCCCCACAAGGTAAAACAGAGCCTTCCCTATCATCGAAAGGGAAAAGCAGGGGGGTGGGCTGGATCTGTGACTGATTGAAATGCATGCAGATGTAGAAGAAAAGACAATACCAAAAGTCTGTTAACTAATCAAAACAGACAATAGGGGAGTTCAACTTGTGATGGAACCCACAGAAGGTCACACAAGCCAAACAAGGCATGAAGAGAGTACAAAACGCATAGTTCTTCCCCGCCCCCAACACGATCATGGTCTTCATTGTGGTTTAATTTTGTAGCCTGACACGGATAACTTTGTCCTTCCATTTGCTCATGTCTCCCTTCACCCATCTTTTCTAAAACTAACTAAATAAATAATAAATGAGTAAAGCTGCTGTGACACACACACAAAAAGGAATTTAATAGTATAATATATATAAATAAATATATATACAGATATATTTATCATGGTATGTTTGATGGGGTGACTGAAACAGGAAACCTGTTAAAGTCTTGAAGTGGAATGAGAATGTTGTTTTAAAAGAAAATAATGACAAAACAACAAAAAAGTAAACCTTACAATGTGAAGCAAGTGTGAGTTTTAGTTTTGTCACAGTTAACTGTGTCAAAGAGAATTAAAAATAAATCTTCTCAGATTTTGTTTACATATTTTACTACATTTTTGCTGGTATAATTCCTTAGCCACCTATGTACATACTGCTTTAAGAACTGTTCTCTCCTTTCTATTTGTGTATTTTAGTTTGGTTGGTTTATATTCCAGTTGTCTTTCTTTTTTGAAAAGAGGAAACAATGTACAGAAAAATAATAAATTGGTTGTGTGGCCATAGCTATCCAAGAAGCAAGAGAAAAGCAAGACAAATATTCACATAAAAATGAAATATGTCTGCTGGAGGGTCAGATATATACAATTTCTTTTGTACAGATGAAAATCAATCAGCGTTTAGATTTAGAAATCTACTCTTGCTGGTCTTTGTAAGTTGCATGAATATTTGACTTTGAAAACAATATCTTAATGACATGGGGCAAAAAGAGCAATTTAAACAATGGTAGCCTTTACTAATGTGTACGGAAAGAAGTGTTCCTCATTACCTGATATTTCAATGTGTTAACGGTTTTGAAATTTTTTTGTTGTTATTTAAAAAGACAGGATTATAAAGAGATATCAAAGCACGATTTTAGATAACTTAAATGGCCCAACCTATATGGAGTTGATTATATCTCGATGTCTTTAAAAGATTGCTGTTCTTGGAGTCTTGAGGTCTTGTGAACTGATTTTCTGCTTTCTTTCTTTATATTTTTTAAAATTTTTGAGTAAAAATACATTTGTTATATTCCTTTTAGTGTAAGTTCTATTTGGACAATTTTATGGGAACATGTGCATTCTGTGTGTGAGCTTCTATCATATCCCTGTTGTTTTATGAGCAGACTCTTAAGGAATTTATTTCATGATGTTGTGATGTTACTGCTTTTTTTCCTTTTCTCTTTTATTTCACATTTGCATTTTCGTTCAAGGATATGCTTAGCAATAAAATGTTCTTCCCAAAACCTTGTATGATGATGTTTTTTTATATCCTAAATATTTAGTAAAAGATCTTACAAAGAAGCTGAACATGTCACATCTCATTAAAAGTAAGCTAGGACCACTGTCATGTGAAATAACAGATTCTAACCAGATACTTAGGTAAACCTATGAAAAGTGGCATATTTATGGACTCAACAACTATTGTTTGTCAACCAAAGCATTATTTAGATTGCTATGATAGAGCAACCTGTAAAGAAAACAATTTTCTGAACAGGTAAGTTGACAAAGGCACTTTATTCTGTAAAATATCATTGGATACTATGTTTTTAAAAGGGTTTAATAACTTTTAAGAATTTCTGTAAGTCAACAAACTTTGAACAATTTTTCAGAACCACGTTCACGCAGTTCCTTAAGCACTGGAAAGCTTTAGATGCCTTCTTTCTAAGCCCCCCCATCATATTGAAAAAAATTTTAAAGTACTAAATCCAAAAACAAAATTTAAGCGAGTACTTAAATTTTAACAGCTTTTATCTAGATTGTCTGATTATAAAATTCTGTAAACATTCACTGTCTCTGGAACCCTTCTCGCATCTCAGGTATCCTTGATGTGCTGGTTCCCTAAGCCCATGCATGTTGTACATTTGGATAATCAACCCCTCAGGACACTCCACATTTTCACGTGATCCAGAAATGTAGGTTAAGTGAACAGCTGTACTCTATCCATATGCTGATTAACAGTTTTCAAAGAGTTACAATTAAAAACAGATATCATTAACCCTGTTTCTTTAAATTTCATTAATGGATTGGTTATGCTGTTGACAACCACAGGCATGGAAAGAAAATGAAGCTGAGTGATGTCAAACTCTGGAAAGTTCCTTTTCTGGTTCCTGCCTCAGATAATTAAGTAAAGTAAAGCCATCATTTAGGCATGCCCACAATGTGGCAGGTATTGTCTTAAGTGTTTTGGATCTGTGTTGTCTATTTAACCCCTGAGTGCCAGATAGATTTTTTTTTCATCTTAAAGAGTACAAAACAAAGACGCAAAGAGCTTAATGACAACTTGGCAAATATAGTTCTAATCATGTTGGCAGTCAGGCCTTGCTGGCGTGGAGGTCAGGGGGACCTGTGGGGTGGGTATGGGTGCTGAGGCCAGACAGAGTGGGTTGGAGCCCCACCTGGACCTCTCACTGTGTACAGGCAAAGTTCATGATCTCTGAGATTTGGCTTCCTCACTTGAAAAGTGTGACACCTAGATGACTTTCCTTTTGTTGTAGGTTGGGAGGAAAAACTGAAATAATATAAAGTGTTTCAAATGCGATTGACACGGAATAGGGGCTGAACAATGTTAACATCCTTCACTTTGGTGCTATGCTTTTCTCTATACAGAAGCTGCCATCTAGAATTAGAAATTCTATGCTAAATTCTGCAATAAAAAGATTTACCTAATAGTTCCCAAGCAATGTTGCAAAATCGTGATTAGGGTTTCCTAGCTATAATGGACAAAAGTAGTCTTTTTCTAGTCACACCCTTTGATTGCAAGCATAACTGGAAGCAGGAAGCACGTGACACTGACGTTCGGTAGCCCACGTCTGATTGGCAGTGCATTTTAAGCAAGAGGCCAGATGTTAAGGTAAGTGAAGGGAGTACAGATTGAGAAAAGGTTAAACTTGACAGATAAATTCCTAGATGATGGTGAATGTGGTGTTTGTTGAGATCTAAGTGGCATTTGCTCAGATACAATCCTGAAAGTCCATTCATTGACAGAAGCCATCTCTCCAGGAGGAAGTGGTGAGACTAAACCATTCCTCTCCAGTGTGGTTAACTTTAGCCATGGGCTTTGGATTCAGGAAAGCTTTGTTCAAACCTTGGCTCTGAATTCCGGGTCTGTTAAACCTTGAGTGCTATGTGAAATGACTCTAGGTTTATTCACAACATTGAAATAATATTATCCTCCTCCTGGTGCATTCTATAATTAAATGAGCTAATGTGAACATGAGTGCCTGGATATAGGCACAGTGGCTGGCCCACAGCCCTCAAACAATGATGGCTAAGTTGTCCTTTTAACTATCTATTATCCTAGAAAAAATAATCCACAGTTCTTTCTAAAATTCTAGAAAGGATACATATTGGAGAGCCCAAGGACAATCATTATCCTTCTGTAATCTAAAATCATAATTGTTTTTCTTCCCCTAAGGTGAAATCACATTGATTTACTGATTCTTTGAGCTCATCTTGAATCTTCTACCAGAAATGTACATACACCTGCAAAATTCTTTACTTCAGTCAGCTCCTTCAGAATAGGGGCCATAAGAAAGATTCAAATAGTAAAGTATTCTGTGCCTGAAAGGACAGTCTTCTATGCTTCCCAAAACCCAAAGTTATTGCCTTAGATACATTGCCTTAGAAAATTCTATATTCGCTTTCCCTCCATGAACATTCTAAAGACCACTATTCAATATATAATTCAAGAACCACCTTAAGCATTCATTTATTTCATGATTTGGCTTTTACTGAACACTTATATACTAGCCAATTTATTATTGGCTATTGTTATTTTGTTTCAATGAAGACAAACAATGGAGATGGGAGAGTTTAGCTTTTCTATCTCATATAGATCTATAGAGGCCCAGATTCTCTTCAACCACATTTAAATGGAACTTTGAGCTTTC